GAGAGAGAGAGAGAGAGAGAGAGAGAGAGAGAGAGAGAGAAGTGGAGGAAGCCGGGCGTTGGTAGCCCACGCCTTTAATCCCAGCACTTAGGAGGCAGAGGCAGGCGGATCTCTGTGAGTTCGAGGCCAGCCTGGTCTCCAGAGCAAGTGCCAGGATAGGCTCCAAAGCTACACAGAGAAACCCTGTCTCAAAAAACCAAAAAAAAGTAGAGGAAGTCTGGTGTGTGTAGAAGGCTTTATTTTGGATCATCAATCACCCCCCAAATCATGACATGGGATATTTATTAATCTTATCTTATGCTTGTCCTGTTAGCTCTTACAACTTAATTTAACCTGTTTCTCTTTATCCACATGCTCTTGAACTGTACAATATTACAAATAGCATAGTAAATTTATTCCTTTGGTATTTTGAGACAGGGTTTAACTATACACACCAGGCTAGCCTGGAGCTCATAATCTTCCTACCTTAAGATTCCTAAGTGTTAAAAAAAAAGATTCCCAAGTGCTGAGATTTGTAAGTGACATGGACCAGCATGCCAGGTAGATAGAAATTTTTTGTTTTCATTGTTTACATTTTTCAAGACAAGGTTTCTTTGTGTATATCTGGTTGTCCTGGAACTTGCTCTGTAGACCAGACAGGCCTCAAACTCACAGAAATCTGCCTGCCACTGCCTCCTGAGTCTGGAATTAAAGGTGTGTGCCATCATATCCCTGTTTAGATGGGAATTTTTTAGCCTAACAATAATTGAAAGTATTTATATGTAAAGGGCCTGAGAATCACTGAAGGAAGACCCCAGACTCAAATAGTATGCAAGAACAAAGAGTGTTTATTCTATAGAAACAGCAAGCATGTGGGTCTACCACTTGTACCAAATAGTGACCCTGAAAGGAGCATGCAGTCTCCTTTTAAGCACAGCTAGGAGAATTCCAGGAATAGTTAAGTCATCTCAAACATGACTGGACAAGCAAGCAGCAGTTACACTATTATACTTTTGATTGTGCAAGTTCAGGCAAATCTGGACATGTTTCAAGGGGGGGGTTGCAGAAGTTATCTGTTGAGACCAGCCAACCTGCCTCATATTTTACTCCTGAGTTACTCACTGCATTTCCACTTTAATAATATTAGAGCGCTCCATTCACCTGCCATTCACGAAGCTCCCTATTTTCAGGCCTCATATATCAGGCACCATTTGTCAGGACCAGCTGACCAGTTTGAACATTTACTGAAAAGGGGAGTGAGGATTGAGAAAAGAAAGAAACAGAAAACAGAAGATACAGTTGGGAGGGCTCTCAGTGAATATTTCAACAGTCCCAAGTTTGTTACTCATAGCCATTGTATACCCCAAGCAAAAGGGGAGAGCAAAAAAGACTCCCTTACCATGACACAGGGAAAAAACAAACGTAGTTACTTCCTTAACACTCAAGACATCTATCTAGTAACCACTCCCTAAGTCAAGCATCATATTATTTGGTCTTGAGGAGAAAGAAATTTAGTAGCCATACCTTTGGCCAAATATCCTGTTATTTGGCCTTGAGAAAGAATAGATTTGAACTCTGTGACCTTATAAGATGAAATGGAGTCATAAATGTTGGCTTCCAGGATTGTCATTATTTGGTTATTGCCTTGAGATACTTTGGGAGCTGGCTCAGGTCTCCTATGTGCTTTCTTTCCCATCCCTGCTCTCAGGGGTGTTGTTGATTAATGGCCCTTTGTTGTGAGAGAAAACTGTTTTCCTCTTCTTAGATAACTGAAACCTAAATTCAGTTATAAAAAGTAGAAAGGTTGAAACCCTTCATATGAGAGCTCAGAGGTGGTGGTGCATGCCTTTAATCCCAGCACTCGGGAGGCAGAGACAGGCAGATCTCTGTGAGTTTGAGGCCAGCCTGGTCTACAGAGTAAGATCCAGGACAGCCAGGGCTACACAACACAGTGAAAGTTTGTCTTGAAAATCAAAAAGAAGAAGAAGAAGAAGAAGAAGAAGAAGAAGAAGAAGAAGAAGAAGAAGAAGAAGAAGAAGAAGAAGAAGAAGAAGAAGGTGAGCATGACAGTGCATGCCTTTAATTTCAGCATTTGGGAGTCAAGCAGATCTCTGTGAGGACAACATGGTCTACACAGTGAGTTTCCAGACAGCTAGAGCTACATAATGAGACCCAGTCTCAAACAAAACAACAACAAATAAAGTACTTATGTAGTACAGCAGATTTTTATTATGCCAGTCTGCCATGAAACTTACTGTGCAGCTGAGGATGACTTTGAACTCCGGATCCTTCTGCCACTACCTCCCAAGTGCTGACATTACAGGTGTGAGCCACTACCAGCAAACATGACATTTTGACATAGGTATAAATCTTGAAATGATTAAATTAAGATACAAGGAATCAAGCTGGGCGTTGGTGGTGCACGCCTTTAATCCCAGCACTTGGGAGGTAGAGGCAGGTGGATCTCTGTGAGTTCGAGACCAGCCTGGTCTACAAGAGCTAGTTTCAGGACAGCCTCTAAAGCCACAGAGAAACCCTGTCTCGAAAAACAAAAAAACAAAAAACAAAACAAAACAAAAAGATACGAGGAATCAGGTCGAATACTTAGAGTTTTTAACAGTGAAAATATTTAAAATTCAGGTCTTAGCACCTTTCAAGTACTAGACACATTGATATGGGATGTCCTGTATGCTGCAAATATGTGTTGCTTTTATTGGTTGATGAATAAAGCTGTTTTGGCCAAAGGCCAGGCAACATATAGCTAGGAAGGAAATCCAAAGAGGTTATGGAGAGAAAGAAGGCAGAGTTGAGGA